ACCTGCTCGGCATGTCCTCCTCCCCCCGCCGCCCCGGCAGGCTTCACGCGCTACGCCACGGGAGTGTTCCCCGGCGTGTCCCCCGGCTCGCGCGAGGATGCGTTCCTCTCCGCCATTGTCGCCGCCGGAGTGTCCCACGTGGTGGCGCGCGGCTGCCGCCAGGGGCAGTTCCGGGGCAGCTGCTCCTGGGTCGTTCCCGACGCCATGAGGCTACCGCCGCGTGCTCGGCGGGGCGGCTCATCGGACGACGTCGAATACGGATACCAGTTCGCCAAGTGGTTCGTGAATGTGGGCGATGGCAGTCGTAGCAGGCAGAGAGGGGAGTCTTTGGCGATGAATTTGCACGACAACGAGGCGGGTCGGCTGGTGAGTGTGTGAACGGGGTGGTGGGTCGTTGTAGATGTTGTCTTTTTTTTTAAATAATTTAAAAAAAGTTACTCCATGCTAATTAGGTTTGGCCTCCTTGCCTAGGGTTGTATTACCAATCGTGATTAACGCAATGGTTCTCGCTTGAACTTCTACCGGTAATGTTTTAGCGTAATGATGTCTGGTGGTGGTGATGACGGTGGTGGTGGTGGTGGTAGTGACGCTGGTGGTGGTGGTATGTCTGGTGGTGGTGATGACGGTGGTGGTGGTGGTGATGTCTGGTGGTGGTGATGACGGTGGTGGTGGTAGTGACGCTGGTAGTGGTGGTGGTGGTGCTACAGGCGGTGTACAATCTGGCGCACATGGACTGCAAGTGCCACCTGCTTTTTGGCCGCTGCATGCTGAAGATCTGCTGGCAGCAGCTCGCCGACTTCCACCAAGTTGGGAACTTGCTGAAGGTGAGCTGCTCACAGCTGCTGGGTGGGACTGCCCCCAGAGGGAGTGTGGGTGTGACGAGGATTCATCCATTGGGGGGTTACAGGCGGGGGGGGGGGGTCCCTAACAGCTAAGGGAGCTCCCCGCATTCACTCGACAACCACCACATCCCCCGATGATGGTGTGTGATGATGGTGGTGGTGTCGTGGTGATGATGATGGTGGTGATGATGATGGTGATGATGATGATGGTGATGATGATGGTGATGATGATAATGATGATGAATGATGATGGTGATGATGGTGGTGATAATAATTGTGATGATGGTGATGATAGTGATAATGGTGATGATATTGATGATGATAATGATGATGACGATGGTGATGATGGTGGTTGCAGCACAAGTACGACACAAGTTCCGCCATGCGGCTGGTCCGCCACAACAGCAGCAGCAGCGTTGCTGGTGCCACCCGCTGGTCCCGCTGGCGTCTGGAGCCGGTGAACGAGCGCTTGACGGCGCCCACGGCGAGCGAGCTGGTGCACGTGAGCGCCAGCCCCGGCTACTGCGAGCGCAACGACGCCAGCGGCATCCCCGGCGCGGTGGGGCGGCGGTGCAACGTCACCTCCGAGGGCAAGGAGGCATGCTCCGTCATCACGTGCTGTGACAGAGGATACGACATCTCACAAGGTGAGCCCCTCGCCCCTCACCTCTCCCTAACCCCCCCCCCGAAAATTAACTAAAACTAGTCATTAAAAATTAACCCGTAAAAACAAAGTTTTTCACTATAAATCCTTTATATGCGTGACGGCTCGAGTCCTCTCATCCTCTGGCTTGAGATGGCTGCCACCTATGGGTCAGATGATTGCCTGCCACCATTAAGCAATTGATAATTAAATATAATTTTTTTTCCTAAAAAGTGTAAAGTTATGGAAAAAAAATTTCACGAAAATAAATTGTCACGCACAACGAGTCTGTGTGCAAAATGTCAGCTCGATTGGATCACGGGAAGTGGGTTAAAAAACGACCGAAAGATTTGCACGGTCGTAAGCGCGCAAGCAAGTGAACTTAATATAAAGGATTTAAAAAGCAACAACTATTTCATATTTGACCAGGCAAGGGCCAGTGAGCTACAGTGAGGGAAAAAACTATTTGATCCCCTGCTGATTTTGTACGTTTTCCCACTGACAAAGAAATGATCAGTCTATAATTTTAATGGTGGGTTTATTTGAACAGTAAAAGACAGAATAACAGCAACAAAATCCAGAAAAACGCGTGTCAAAAATGTTATAAATTGATTTGCATTTTAATTGTCTCCACGCATGCACCAGTCTCTCTCTAATCACCCTGTCCCTATACCACTTCACACTGTTCTTCACCACTATACAGTACCGTACACCCACGCAATCACACCGTCCCTATACCACTACGCACAGTCTTCACTACTATAAGTACCGTACACCACGCAATCACACCGAAAATGCATTTCTGTAGAACTGCTTTCCGTGATCCTTAGGTCGCTCGAAGGGATCTCGTCGGCAGTGGCTCTGCGACGGCCGCTTCCCCGCGGGTCATTCGCAGAGGTCGCAAACGGGTTCTGATTCCTTACCCCTCGTACCCGGCCGCACCAGGGTCGCAAGCGGGTACCCGGCCGTACCCGTACCCTACCCGTACCCGGCCGGGTACGGGTAGGGTACGGGTATCAGGTACCTGATTGCGACCTCTGGGACGAAGCCATGTTGCAGGCGCGGGTGGGTTGATTCTAGGAACTTGAATTGTGAGAAGAGACAAGACGTTGGGAAATGAGTGACAAACGGTGACTCACCAGTGACTCACGGTCCACCCGTACCCGGCCGCATCAGGGTCGCAAACGGCTACCCGTACCCGGCCGGGTACGGGTAGCTGGGCATCGGGTAGGGTACGGGTATCGGGTAGGGTACGGGTATCGGGTAGGGTATTGGGTAGGGTACGGGTATCGGGTAGGGTACGGGTATCGGGTAGGGTACGGGTATCGGGTAGGGTATTGGGTAGGGTACGGGTATCGGGTAGGGTACGGGTATTGGGTAGGGTACGGGTATCGGGTAGGGTACGGGTATTGGGTAGGGTACGGGTATCGAGTAGGGTACGGGTATCGGGTACCCGGTTGCGACCTCTGGTCGTTTGACAACGTCGGGAGAAGTGCGCGGAGATTTTGTTAACCTCGACGTTAACGGCGGTCGCACAATAGCGACGATCTCGTGAGCTCTCTCCCCTCTGCTGTTCCCTCCCCAGTCACGCTGGAGACGCAGTGCGGATGCAAGGAGCAGCTCAAGGAGAACGTCAAGTGCAAGCTTTGCCCGTGGACCGTCGATCAATTCGCTTGCAAGTAGCCTCCAGCCCCAGTCTAGGGGGGCCTCGACTGAAATCGCGACCCCCACAAAGCTGTTTAGGGCATCGACATCCAGCGTGTACCCCTCACTACGAGCTGCGTTCTACTATACACACTTCACTCGCGTGCGACACGCCACAAGCTACACTGCACTATGCACTACCCTACTACACACTCTGCATGCGCTTCATCTTCATGATGTGGAAGCGCCGTTGTTTTGTGACGTCGCCACTTGAATGCGCTTAGCGACCAAGTGCCGTTGTTCCGTTTATTCCGTTGTTCTCGTTAACGCCGCGTTTGCCAAATCTAGGCAACGTTCACTCGGCGCTTGTTGGGATTCACAGCGAGGTCCATCGCACCCTTCCCTGCGAGCCGCGACACACTGAATCTACTACTTCACACGACTTCGCACTGCACTTGTATGCAGTGTCTCACCTATAAAAGTCTTTTTTGTCTCTTTATCTGTGTGTCTGGATGAAACTTGCTAAGGATTTGGCTCACGAACCACAGGGTGTACGGTTAAAGTACCCACACACGCTACGCCACACACACACACACACCCCACACACCACGCCACACACACGCCGCACACACACGCCGCACACACACACACACACACACACACACACACACACACACACACACACACCACACACACACACCACACCACCACACCACCACACACACCACACACCCACCCCACACACCACACACATCCACCCTCCCCCACCCCACACACCACACACACACACACACACACACACCACACACCCACACACACCACACACTACACACACGCTACACACCACACACACACCACGCCACACACACTACGCCACACACACCACACACACACACACCACACACACACTACGCCACACACGACAGCCAGTGAGGAACTGTAGATCCGCCGCTGACCATTCACTCCAAGGCATCCGCTGATAAAAAAAGTAAAGGTGCAGTCCCTGCAATGTCCCTACTCAGGCTCTTGTTGGCAGAACGGCCTTCCCACTCTGAGGAGCTCTGGACAGAGCTCCTCGATGGGCTGATGGGCCTACTCTTCCACGCTGACGTCTACAGACGCCGTGGGAGAACACACCAGAGTGGGGATAGTCCACACTCTACCCCACCGACTGGACCGGGTGGTGGCTGGGTGCGTTTGAGAAACGTGTCCATTGGTTCAGCTGCCGTAGCGACGGCGGGTGACGGAGCGGTGACCTCTGGGTTGTTTGACCTTCTGAGTCGATGATTGGCGTCACGTTGCGAGCCCAGTGTGTTTGTACGTGCGATGTCGGTCAAATGAAAGTCACTTAAATTTCGATTTTAAAGCTTTCGTGACTGCAGGGATTCATATTCTTGGTTCTTTCGGTAAAGTCACGTAGAAGGGAAATAATCAATATTAAAAACAATAACATTTCTCACGTTTCGACTGCAACACAAGCAATCATCATCAGATGTGAAATCCACAGAAAAAACATTTTTCAAAGTTTCTTGCTGTGGATTTCACACCTGATGACGATTGCTTGTGTTGCAGTCGAAACGTGAGAAATTTTATTGTTTTATATTTACATTATTTTATTATTCCCCTTCTACGTGACTTTACCGAAAGAACCAAGAACATGAAAGTCACTTATTTGAACGGCCCTGGACTGAGACTGCCTGTGACCTTCAGCGTTGAGGCGCCGCTCAAATAACTAAACAGCAGCAAAGGCAAACGACAAACATCGTGAGTAGTGAACAGCGAGTGGATTAGCGCGGCTGGGCTACGTACGGTGCGAAAGAAGTTCAACACACACAGAGCAGAAGTTGTTGTTTGTGTCACTTTCTTTGTTGCAACTTACCGGAAATCTGTGTAAATAAACACAAATAAGCCGCGTGGCTCGGCAGATTTCTACAGTAACGAACCAAACGCCTCTTCCGATTGCGAAACACAAACTCGGCAATCAGTTGTGCAGACCAGAAGGGGGGTGGGGAGTGAATGTCGTCGTGAATGACAGCGGGTGTCTGTCATTGACTGGGTTATATCGACACACACAACGTATGTTGATCACGCATGCACACGATGCATGCGCATTGCGTGTGTGTACGTTCGGCCGTTGTAAAAATAACTTCACCCAAATACACTCGTAGCGATGTTGACGTGTAACCCGGTCACAGGAGCAGACTTCAAGCGGCTAATGCCGATGGGTAAAGGTGCAGTCCTGCAAGTGCTCGCGTCACCGCTGCCACGGAAGGTTTTCTCGAGGGAGCTCCGGAGAGAGCCTCCGTGGGATGTAACTTGGCCTACTCTTCCACGCTGGCCGATACTTTGTTTTAGGAGAGGTGGGACTACACAGACTCGGTGATGATGTATCTTGGAGGAATCCGATGAGCAGTGAAGCTCTTCATCACAGATATCCAGTCGGAAATGTTGACCACCACCACCCACATTTTACCCCACCGGTGAAATTAAAGCATGCACACACGTAGGGGGGAACGTCGGCTATTTGTAACGCGAGGTTACATCCGGGTCGTTGACGGATTACAACTCGTCACGATGATTGGCTCTGCCGGTCCTGGTCCATAGCCAATGGGGGGAACCCTAGGGGCGTGGCCCTGACGTCATGGCAAGGTGACAGCTGTTTGTAGATGATTGGCCCTGCTGGCTTTGGCCACAGCCAATGGGGAGACGAGTCCGGGGCGTGGTCCCGGGAGCCTACGATGGAGTCTGGAAGATTCCATGGAGGCTAACCAGGATTGGTGGAAACGTACCACGTGACCAGGGTATTAAATAGGGGTGGAGACGAGCAACACGTGGTCAGAACTGGAACGAACGGAGGGGGGAGGCCACGCTGGAGCGAGATCCAGGCTGCCACGTGGTCCAGGCTGCCACGTGGCTGCGCGTGTCTCTCTCTCTATCTCTCTCTATCCCTCTCACGCTGCCTGTCAACAGCATGAAGGAGTGCTGTAATGAAAGACGAATAAAGACCGGATTACAGAAGTCGCTTCAACGACCTCTATTACATGTTTATAGACAGACCCCTCTCACAGGATCTGCCCAGGGACCGAGCAATGGGCTGCGCAGCCCTATAGAAGGGGAGCCCGGATCGGCAGTGTGCGCGGGCAACTCAGCGACGGTAGCGGTAGCAGGAGTGGCTGGGCGAGCTCCCACCCTCAAGGATCGACACGAGCGAGGACCGGGGTATCGTCACCAAGTAGGAGCCGAGCGCCGTCTCCAACTCTACAGAATTGACGTCGGACAGGGGAACATCGGGTGACGCTGTGATTATTGTTACATGTCTCCAGCGGCCAACCCGGGGAGTGGACCAGGGCCGGTGGGACGTCTGGGAGCACAAAAGGCGTGCCAGGTGCGTCAGGAGCAGGGAAGCCAGCCGGCTGCGGCCTGGCACCGTCCGAGAGCCAAGTCGGTCGCCTTTGGGCTGCCCCCACGGACATCTCCCACCGTGTGAGGGCAGCAACTCTGCAAAGCCACCACCACCACCACCGTCATCGTCACCACCACCACCACCACCGTCATCACCACCACCACCGTCAATGTCACTACCACCACCACCACCGTCATCACCACCACCACCGTCATCGTCACTACCACCACCACCACCACCACCGTCATGTCACTACCACCACCACCACCACCACCACCACCACCACCACCGTCAAGTCACTACTACCACCACCACCGTCATCGTCACCACCACCACCACCGTCATCGTCACCACCACCACCATCGTCAAGTCACTACCACCACCACACCGTCATCGTCACCACACCACCACCCCACCACCACCACCGTCATCGTCACCACCACCACCACCACTATCGTCAAGTCACTACCACCACCACCACCACAAGCCGAGTGGCGTAGGGGAGGGGGACCCCCCTGCAGGAGGAGGCACGCGGCAGCTCTGCAGCGGAGAGAGTTGCCATGGGGAGCTGGACGTCCCCCCCCCTGTCCCCCCCCCCCCACGCAGCTCGTGTGCGTCTCGGGGAAGCGGCAGGAGACCTTCGGTGCGAGTGGACGTGGCGGGTGAACAAACGTCAACGTCGAGGGGAAATCACGGGACCTCCTTTGCCAGTACCACATATACTCATAGGGGTTTTCCCCTTTTATCTGGCATAAAACTGACACCTTTTGCAAGGAATCATGTGCGCCTTTTGGCGTCATCTGGTCGAACACCATATGGGACTAGGCTCTAAAGAAAGCTGTCTCTGGTGTGGACCAATCAGTTTCAAAGACAATGCATACATTATCAGAGTATTGTTTTTTTGTTTGTATTTGACTGCGAGTATAGTGGTTAATGTAAGCGTGATTCCTTGCAAAAGGTGTCAGTTTTGTTGCCAGAAAAAAGGGGAAAACCACCTATTGGTCGAGGGGAAACTCGCTTGTTGCCGGCGGAGGCTCCGACCCCGGGCGACGGTCCCCTTACCCGACTCGGCCGTGGGGTCCGGCGCGTTCTCCGCGCCAGGCGCGGTGCAGTCCCACCGCTTGCCCTTGAACTGGTCGCGACACTCATGCAGCGCCAGCCGGACGCCCTGCACCACCGCGTGCATGTGGTCCAGGCGGCGCAGGCACATCTTGCGCTGCACGGGGGATAGTCCCGGAGCCCCGATGCACAGCGGCCGATACTCGGTGGTGTTAGAGTGGAGGGCCCACTGCGCAAGCGGCCTGCAGAGGGGTGGGAGTCATGGTGGCTAGGAGATGTTAACTACCTCGCCTGGTGTACAGGAGGTCGTGGGTTCGATCCCGAACCTGACTCCTGCTGCTGTATATTTGGAGTTTGGGTGTCTCTCTCTCATCACATCACGGTGGCTAGGAGATGTTAACTACCTCGCCTGGTGTACAGGAGGTCGTGGGTTCGATCCCGACCCTGACGCCTGCTGCTGTATATTTGGAGTCTGCGTGTCTCTCTCTCATCATCATCACGGTGGCTAGGAGATGTTAACTACCTCGCCTGGTACGCAGGCAGTCGTGGGTTCGATCCCAACCCCTTACAAGTAAAC